TGCTGCTTGCTTTTTAGACTGAGTGGCTCTTTGAGGAAAAGGTAACGGGATGTGGACATCAGAAGTATCAGTATTCTGCTTCCTTGAACCAGTGTCACCTCTTTGAGATGACTTAACAGCATATTGGTTTGGTTCCTCCAGTTGCTTGCCAGACCGCAGAGAGATGGCACTAACATTGCCGGTTCCCTTTGGATTTGGAACTGTCTGTGATGGAAGGGAGCTGCCACTTGCTTGTTGATTCTGACTCATTGATGTTGCAAGTTGGCCAATCTGTGTTTGCAGATTCTGGATGGAAGACTCAGTCCTCTGCTGGAACTGCAGATTGTTAGTTGCCATCTGCTTCACTAAATCCTCCAAAGAAGGACCATTGCTATTGGCTTGCTGCTGCATTGGCTGTGGAGGTGCAAATTATTGAAAATTTTGCCTCTGCTGTGAAGGTGCAAAATGCTGCCTCTGCTGGAATGGTGCACTTTGCTGGTTCTGGTTCCAATTGAGATTTAGATGATTTTTCTAGCCAGGATTATATGTATTAGGGAAGGGATTGTTTTGCTGCTGCTGCTGCATCTGCTGGTATTGTGGCTTTGCAGGAAAAACTGCAGCAACAGACTGATCAACTTGGAAACCACTGTCTTGTAGAGAAGGACAAGCATCCGTGGGGTGAGAAGGATCACAGCAGATGCCACACAGGTTGCTTATCTGTTGAGCAGAAGGTTGCACAGTTTGTGTCACTGCCAACTGCCTCACCATTGATGTCAACTCATCAAGTCTGTTCTCCATTCTCTGGTTATTTGTGCTTGATGCTCCTGCTGCTGCCACTATTGGATTTTGCATTGGAGGAGCTTGCACTTGGAACACTGCACTACTGTTTGCTCTAGTGCCAAATTGTTGAGCATTAGCCGCTATCTCAGCAATCAACTCTTTTACCTCATCAGGTGTTTTATTTCCCAGGACTCCTCCACTAGCTGCATCTAAAAGGTTCTTATCCATAGGCAGCAACCCTTCATAGAAGTAAACAATCAGGAGATTGTCTGGAATCTGATGATGTGGACAGCTTGCACAAAGCTTTTTAAACCGCTCCCAATACTCATGCATGTTCTCCCCATTAGCCTACCTTATGCCACTGATCTCCTTTCTGATTGTGGTGGCCCTGGATGAAGGGAAAAATTTATCCAGAAACAATTTTGACATATCATTCCAGCTTACAATGGAGGAAGGTGGCAAGTAGTACAGCCAGTCCTTAGCTCCACTGTCCAAAGAGAAAGGAAAAGCATGCAGCTTGATTTGCTCTTCATCTACCCTTGTTGGCTTCATTATGCTGTAGACTATATGAAATTCCTTCAGATGTTTGTGAGGATCCTCACCTGCAAGACCATGAAACTTGGGAAGCAAGTGTATCAGTCCAGACTTAAGCTCAAAAGGTACAACAGGATTAACATAACGAATACACAGGGGCTGCTCATTATCAACATTAGGAGCAGCCAATTGCTTAAATGTTCTATCACCTATGATTTCAGAATCAAATAAACTACCAAACGAATAAACACTATGTAAAGGACTCGAACAAACAGACTCAACAGACTCGGACTCAATAGACTCAGACTCAACAGACTCAGACTCTAAGGTATGCTCAAGAACAACTCTACTGTAAGTCAACCTATGAGCTCTACTAGCAGCACGCAATGATCTCTCTATCTCAGGGTCATATGCATATAAATCATCAACATTGGTGGTATCCTAGTCATGCATAATAGGTAAAGGCATACAGCAGTAAAATCACAAAACATACGATAGGTCACAAAATTTTTCCAAAAATAGCAAACAGAAGCAAAACAAATCTACGAAAAATACCAAATGACCTCAGAATGCTATGAGACCAACTCTCTTAAACTCTACTCACGGACTCAAAAATAAAATAAAATAGTAAACGAACGAATTCGGCGAAACTAGGGCCTGTATCGTGGGGTATAACCCCACGATATTTGACAGGGATGATCGTCTTCTTCAGGTCACCAATTATCATATCGATCAAAGTAAGTTGAAAAAATCCAGAAATACCCGACAAGTCCTGAAACGACAAAGAAACACCAAAACGGGTTAGTAAACGACAGAATTTGGCAAAAATAAGGGCCACCTCATGCCCTTATAGGGCATGATTTATGCTCATAAGGTCGAATTCCTTTGGGAATAGAACTCTTGAAGCCAATCTCTCAAACAGAAGTTTTACCGATTTCCCCAAATTTGCTCAAAACTGCCCAAAACGTAAACCGTAACGCAGAAAACGCAAAAACTGAGAAAAGACGCGTGTGCAGAATCAATTTCCGATGCAGAAATCGGAATCAGAAACACAAACGAGTGCTAACGCAGAAACAAGACAGATGCGTAATTTTATTTTGTTTTTGAGTTTTTTTTTTTTTTTTTTGAGAAACAGAAACGAAAATTAAAGAAGAAGAAGATGATCAAATTCAGAAAATAATTTAGACCGATGCAATTTCCCCGGCAACGACGCCAATTTTGACACGAGCTGTCGAACTCGGGCAAATTAAAAATTATTTTTTTATTAGGGTTTAAAAAATTTGTAGTAAAGTGGAAACCCTAAGTCGTCTCTCAAGAAAATTGTTTTGGTAAAAATCGCTTATGATGACAGAAAATTAAAAGGGGACCTAAAGTTAGGGTTCCATGGACGTCTTTCCTCGGATAAAAAGATATCAGAATCGTGATTGATCGTCAATCGAATCAAAATCCTTATTTCCAATTGACAACCCTCTCTAAGCGATCACTTAGCATTTGATCAAATACGATGCTTCTACTCATACAATCGCAGAGTATCAGCCCGTTTGATTTAAGGTCATAGGGTCAATCAATCTAACCATCAAATCTGATGATTAATCCCTTTCCATAATCGCAATCGCGAACCTCAGATTGAATATCCACGATCGCACGATATCAATCTGAGTTGGGAAGGGAAACAGAACTGATTTAAAATAAAGCGTAGACCCTCAAGACTAATCCATGGAATCTGTTACCCTTAGGTTGATTAAAAGGTTCTTAACCTCGCATGACTAAGGTAAACATGATTAAAATAAAATAAAAAGAAGAAGAACACGAAGAACGCCCAGAGAAAGTGCTTTGATCCAAAATACGAAAATTCCAAGATGAATAAAAGTTTCCTACTCTGCCGTCATATACCCCTACCCAAATCGGGTTAGGGCTCAGTTCTGATCGACCCATCTGTCTATAATACGAAATAAAATAAAATAAAACTAAAAGTTGGCTTTGGGCCACTTAAGTAATTGGGTTTTAATTTAAATTACAAGTCCAATAATCAAATAAAACTTCAGCAAAATGTGTCCAACTTGGCGTCAGAAATCGACCATCTTCCAGTTCGAATTGGGCTTCAAGCTCTTCATAAGAATATTATCCCTCTGTGTTATCTGAAAAACCCAACAAGAACGGAGTCAATCCGACAACTGTGGACCGAGATATGGCCAAAATACAGAAGTAACGTAAAGTTGAAAAATTCTGACGAAAATAAATTAAACCCAATCAAAAACTAAAAATCTAAATTAACTCAAAAATTATTATTTTATTCAAATAAATCCTAAAAATACTAATCAAGATTAACAAATAAGTGTACTAAAATATGAGTTATCAAATTCCCCCCACTTATCTTTTTGTACTCCTGGGCAAAAACTAGAATAGAAAAAGAAAGCAAAGAAATAAGAAAAGATTGAAGATCAATCTATCATTCCTAATAATTAGCAAGTATACAAAAGATAACAAAAATCACAAGTCTTGAACATATAAACTAACCAGGACAAAAATTCTCTAAACTCAAATCACAAGACCTGTCAATTTCAACTGCAACTGCTAACTACACAAAAATGGTTCCTCACAGGATGCTCTCAATTTTCTCTCAAGTGTATCAGTTAATTCAGTATATCACTCAAATGTGGACCATGTTTTTTGTTTGGGACTTAAAAGATTATTTATTCTTAATATATATATTGACCCAAGAGAAATAAGCACCAACAATCAAGAAAAAGAAAAGAGAAAAGCTGAAGTAAAAAGTTTTATGACCACACTTGCGGGCATTTTCCAGCAAGTGGGTCCGCCACTGGGCTAAATGACAAGAAGATCAAGAAAATAACATTGTTCTTTAACCAATGTTGAAGACGCAGTCACTCATGCTTTATACAAGGGTTATTAGGGTTATTTTAGTCTTTTTAACCCATTCTTCCATCAATGTTTTACCTTCAACCAAACATAAACTCAGAAAATTTAACTCAATTTCTCCGGTAATATTTCGGCGTACCAAACAATTTTTTTTTTAACTTTTCTACCAAACTCATTTTTCCACCATATTCCTAATAATTGTATTTTTTTGATAAAAAAAATTTTCCTCTGCCAAACGCCCCCTAAGTTCCTCATCATCATTTATCCCCTCTGTGAGTTCCTCATAATCACTTATCCCCTCATGAAATTTTGAATTATTTACCTTCCTAATTTAATTTTTTTTTTTAAAAATTTTGAATTATTTACCTTCCTAATTTATAGTTTATTTTATCATTTATCCCCCTAACTTAGGGGGATAAGTGATAAAAATACTTTAAATTAGAGATTAAGTAATAAAAAAAATTTAAGTTAAGGAGTGAGTGATAATTTTTTTTTAAATAAAGATATAAATGATACAAAATTTTAGGAAAAAGATAAGTGATTTTAGAGAAAATTTATCGAGTTTTTTTTTTTAAGTTTTTCCTAATTTTTAATAAGAAAATTATATTCTTATATTACATGAAATTCATCGCTCATATTATATTTACATAATATATATATATATATATATATATATATATATATTTATATTTTAAAAATAAAATAAAATTGGTGAATGCAAGTATGCAACTTTATTTATCACTAACATAAAATAACTTTTCTCGTTAGATAAGCAAAGCCCTTTCTAATATAATGATAAACGCACAAACATTTGGGGTTTCTGAAGGACTATAAAAACGTGCTTCTTCTTGGAGGGAGAGGGAGAGGGAGAGGGAGATGGAGGGGGTATCTTATGCGCGCATGCCCAGAGTGAAAATCCGAGAGCTGAAGGACGATTACGCGAAGTTCGAGCTGAGGGACACGGACGCGAGCATTGCGAACGCGCTGCGGCGCGTGATGATAGCGGAGGTGCCGACCATAGCGATTGACCTGGTGGAGATCGAGGTGAACTCGTCGGTGCTGAACGACGAGTTCATCGCTCACAGGCTAGGGTTGATTCCACTGACGAGTGCGCGAGCAATGTCCATGCGCTTCTCACGTGACTGCGACGCCTGCGACGGAGACGGTCAGTGCGAGTTCTGCTCCGTCGAGTTCCATCTCAGGGCCAAATGCATGACTGACCAGACCCTTGATGTCACCAGCAAGGACCTCGTCAGCTCCGACCACACCGTCGTTCCCGTCGATTTCTCTGATTCTTCTGGCCTCGAATCCTCTGACAACAGGTTTGGTTTGGTTTCTTCAAACTGCCTGTTTATTTGTTTTGTTTTTTAAACCCAAAGGAAAAAGGAAAACAAAAACTTGATTTTTTTTTTATTCTATTTTGAACGATTATTTTTTGATTTCGACTGGGTATGCTGTAGTTTCAAATGGGTCTTCTTCGTTTTCAACTGGGTATTTAGTTTTGTCAAATGGTTCATACCCTAGAGCATGAGTTTTTTTTTTTTCGTTTTAAACTCTACTTTTCCGGCAAACCCTAGGACTCAAACACCTGGGACCTAATATCTCCGAGATCCAATTCAATCAAACGATCACTTCATCAAGGACCATAAAATAAACACTCAATCCACCAACCCTGAATAAAAATAAAAACATTTAAAAAAAATCTCATTTGAATGTAATGTGGAAGCAGTAACCAATTGGCTACACAAAGAGAAGAACTAAAGAAAATACTATTTCTCTTTTCTTAATTTTATTTAACCTAAAAAATAACCTCCTAACAATAGGGTTCTTCAAGTGTTAAATAGACAAAATAAAAATAACCAAAAAGTAAAGAACTATAATCATGGACAATCAAAGGAAATAACGCACAATCAAATATAATTTAAAAATAACAAAAAGACATGTACCAAAAAAAATAAAAAATAAATATAACAAAGAAAAATAATTAACAATTATTGAAAAGGCCTAGACTGTGGAATAAATTATAGAAAAGCCCAATGCAAGTCAATAAGCTCGGGTGCATCAGAATGGGTCTTCTTTAATGATGTGAGTGTATACTTTTTTGTTTTTGGGCAAGATAATTTTGAAAGTAAAACCATTTTTTAATCTCATTTTAATGGTTCTTGTTCGTTTTCATCAGGGTATTCTTGAGTATTTGTTGTTTTTGTAGATCAAGGTTGTTGAATTGTAATGTGTATGGTTCGGCCGGTTTTTCCATGTGTAGCGTGAATCATATGGAAGCATAAGGTTCAGAAACATAATAAAAAATAATTTAAAAGTATATAATATGACATAAATTTAAATTTCAAAATAAATCAAATTAGCACTAATCAAATCTTTATTTTATTTCTCTGATTTTCTGACTTTTTTTTTAATTTGTATCACAAATCATATCTTTATTTAGTCTTTAGATTTTTTTTATATGAAAATTGCAAATAATGGTTTTATTTTCGTATCATAAAATTTGATACGATATACACGATTCAATATTGTATGGTACGATATAACGATACACAGTTTGATACAAGACCCATTCCAATACAAGCTCCGATATGTATCGTAGAGATTCTGTATCGTATATGTATTGTGCGATACTAACAACTATGTTATAGATGCTGTGACAGTTTAAATTTTTGGTTTAATAGGAGGATATTTTTAATTTGAGTTGTGTTCAATTCAGGGGGGTTATAATTGTGAAGTTGCGGCGAGGACAAGAGCTGAAGCTGAGAGCAATAGCTAGGAAGGGGATTGGCAAAGATCATGCAAAATGGTCGCCGGCAGCAACTGTCACTTTCATGTATGAACCAGAAATTCACATAAATGAGGATTTAATGGAGTCCTTGACACTTGAGGAGAAAAAAGAATGGATTGATAGTAGTCCCACCCAAGTGTTTCAAATTGATCCAGTGACGCAACAGGTTGGGCTTTTCTCAGATGTTTTCTAGTGATTTTGGTTATGCAATTTACACCTGATTTCATCAGTAATGGTAGTATTACTGTTATCTGCTCATTATGCTTATATTCCTTTTTGGAATTATCTCAACATATGTATCTTAATTATTTCTAGCAAACTTGTGATTATATGCTAATGAGCCTTGGGCTGCAAAGCAATTTACAATAAGTAACAAGTTAGACGCAGGATTTGCTATACACAGCTCATGATGATTGTTGTAGCATGTCCAGGAGCATTATCTGTAGAACATATTGATACTGCCTCGTCTATCTGGCTGACTCTGTCAACCTCTTAGTGCTGTGCATACTTTTGTCTTCTATGAATTGTTGATATATATATATATATATATATATATATATATATATATATATATATATTACTTAATACCCATTTTTAGATTCTGTTTGATTTGTTATTATGGATCCTTCCTTGGTGTATTATTTATTGTTAAACAAAAACATGAAATTTTGTATTCCTTCAAATGCATTTGTCTCGTGGTAATTTGTTGTACTAAGTTTTAGCGTGTATTAGGTCACGGTGCTTGAGCCTGAGGCATACTCTTATGACGATGAGGTGATTAAGAAAGCTGAAGCTATGGGGAAGCCCGGGCTTGTAGAAGTCACAGCAAGGCAGGATAGCTTCATATTCACAGTAGAATCTACTGGAGCAGTTAAAGCTTCTCAATTAGTACTGAATGCCATTGAAATTCTCAAGCAGAAGCTGGATGCTGTGCGGCTATCTGAAGATACGGTTGAGGCTGATGATCAGTTTGGTGAGCTAGGTGCACATATGCGAGGAGGATGATCAAGTCTATTGCAAGGATTTCGCTTTGTTTCCCTCAATTTCTATGTTGCATGTTGTTTTTAATTGAATAGCTGCAGCATGTGCTAACTCATTGAACCAAAGATGCTAGTTGTTATTCTTATTATTATCCCTTGAAGGTAGACAATTATATCTTTCAAACTAATGTTGGCTTACCAGAAACAGTGGCTAGCATGGGGTGTATATTTTCCAATCTATTATACGCACCCACACACATGTAGCCTCTTATGACCTGGCATGGGGAGAGGGATGGATTAAGTGTAGTCTCCCAATGAACTTAGATCAATTCAGTTGAAGCTTTCGAAGATCTGGACCGAGATTATGCTATACTTGTTTTTAATTGTCAAAAAGGATAGTTCATTAAGATTTTTTTGCTTTTCAGTATCCAATCCGCTTTAAAGTTCTTGCCCTTTTAGTTTTTCGTCTTTTGGATATTGAAATACTTCATAAACTTACTGTATGGAGGGAAGAGACAGTTTATCTTGACTCGGCGCCCCCATTCAATCATCTGCTTCTTTGCTGAACTCTGTCTGATGGATGCTTTATTTGTGGTTAGAATGTTGGAATTTATGGAAGAAGTCAATTTTTTGAACGCATATAAATTTGTGCAAAAAATTATGATGTAACATTACATAAATTTACAGTTAAACTAACGATTGTAGAAACAAAATGAAATTGTTGCACCTAAAAACTGTACAAATAAGACGACGTGATTTAAGGGGTCATTACTAGGGCCACGGGTGACACTCAAGCGCGGCATTTGCTTAACAAGAATGATGTTCTTGCAATTCAAAATTGGCTGCATAATTTTCATACTTGTTCGTGAAAATAAAGATTGAGAGAAGGCATTTTGATTTTATTTTATTTTTTATCTGGGAGAGAATATGTGTTTTGCAAAACAGCTGCAGATCCACCCACCATCATTCTAACGGGGCCACCAACCACATAAAAAAAACTAGCATATACGTAGATCCAGGACACCTATCACTGATCATCCCTCAGCTCATAATAATTCAGAATAACCCGTTGGCCAAATTACTTTACTAGGTTCTTATTGTTTTGTGAAGGAGAGATTTTTCAGAAGTTACACAAATTGGTGAACCTGTTGTATCAGAGATTGAGCATTAGCAATGATGAAAAGGAGCCATTGTCAAGTGGGTTTCCACGATTGAGAGTTTGTAGGACTTGGAATCGTTTCGGAGGGAGCATTGTGTTAAAACCCATTTCACAAAATAAGATTTTACAGGTCCGAAGGCCGTCGTCAAAGTCTCTCGAGATCAGGAGCAGTGAACCACACTTCAATGGCCTTACCATTGCTCCTGAGTTTCCTGCTTAAGGAAGATGACAGAGAAATCTGAAGGACAAGGGTGGTCGGGGTCGCTAGTCTTACAATAGATGGATTTGTAAATATCAAACTTTAACCAATTACTTGCTTAGTAGGTAGTTAGTCTTCGATCACGGCCATTAGTTTGTTTTACTTCAAATCTGACGGTTATACAGAAATGGTCGACCGGTTGTAAATATTGCCAGGGTTTGCTCAAACAGATCCAGAATGCCTCTGTCAAAAGACTTCCATAAAATAAGATGCAAATGTTTGACTAAATGAGCAAAGGAATAAAGCATGCAAACCTGGTTGTGACTAAAACAGCAGGAGCTTAACATGGCATTGATTTAAATTATCCAGGAGACTACAAAAGGACGCTTTAGTGTGATATACATTTGAGGGAACCTGCTGGATGATTTATGGTTATGGACAACTGATCTCACTAGCAAAAGGTGGATAATTTACCAGCTCTTGTTGGGTATTTAAAACAACTTACTACTTGTACGCTATTGGACCAGATCTAGATACTGCAAACCTAGGAAGTGGACTGGGCCCAGTACTCCCAGAAGTTGAGCCTTCAACAGATTTGACCTTATTACGGCTTGCACTGTAATCCAAAGGCCCAGAACGACGAATGTTCCTTTGCTTGTTTTCCATGCTCCTTGAGCTGCTAATATCAGCGTCATAGAGGTGACCCTGGCTCTGTGACGATGATCCTTTGAAGAACGCTGAATCATTGCCATAATACTGTGGTGTGAAGTCCCCACGATGCTTTAAGACAGGAGAAGAATGTGCTAGCATTATAGCAGGTGAATGACGAGGGGATGCGTTCAGTATTGCCAATGGAGTGGATGGAGTATCTGCATAGTATTGGCTGTATACTGAACGGAGAATGGCATAAGGAACATGGCTTTCCAGTGAGCTTCGTGGAAGGTATGGTGAAATCTCACAAAGTTGGTCTAGGAAGATTAGCTGTGCTACAAGATGAGATCTGTCCATGAATCAAAATATAAAATAGCTTAGAAAACTACTAAATGAAAGAATAATGTTTCAGATAAAACAGAGCGTTGATGCAGAGTAGCAGATGAATTTCTGTTTTAATATATTGCAACATCATTGTCCCTAATTAAGGTGTAGTTTTCACAAACATGTATATATAATCAACGACCATTTGTGTTAAAAGCAAAACCATATACATTTACCTGTGTGTTTCGCCCCAAGAGTCTAGTATGATCTCCGCAGAGTTTTTCACAAATAACTGCAGCGTGGACTTGATACTTGCTTCAGCAGACATGTGACTTGCTAATTCAGGATCCATTCCCTCGCTACCACGCCCATTTGTTGAAGACTGTCTATGCTGATGTTCACGTTCCAATCTAACAAACTCACTTCCGGCAATCACTGCAGAAATGCACCTGCCCAGTATTACATGGTTAGAGTGAGGCAAATGTTACCAAAATTAGAATATACAAATGTGTAGTTCGGTTTCTCAAATATTATTATACCCAACGGAATCAAAATACTAAATAAATGAAAATTTCCAAATCCAACCCCGGTAGAATTACTGGATAGAAGTTAATCCGATGGCATTGGACCAAATTATCAGCATACAAATACAAACTTCAAATCACTGAAAAGCATTAAGCTCTATAGTGTTTACAGATACCAAGCATAAAAGTAATTTCAGCCAAAGCATAACCATACTGACCTTGCCAAGCAATGGATGTTGTTACTGAAACCCTCTGTGTCGACATTAAATGCCGTGGTGGACCAAATATTAGATGTCATGAATGTGGCAAATAAGTATGGTAACAAGTTCCATGACCCATCACTTGCACCACCAACTTCTTCTAAAATTGATCTTACCCAAACGGAATCATGATCACTTACAACACCTACAGTATTTGCCACTGTTCTCATTCTCTTGATCTCTTCCTTCTCTGGTACTCCATCAGGTAGATGCTTAACCACCCCAGCTAGCAGTGAATATATTAGGGGAGCACCTTCTTCAAGCATGGCACCAGAAGCCTCAGCCAGTAGCCGATCAAAAGCCAGCGCTAGCCCGGCCTGAACACAAAAACCAATCACAGTTTCCAGATCAACTATTTGCTTCATACAAGCTTCTCTTTCAATTCTATCACCAGCATGCAGGCTAGTAGCAACTGCTTCTAGAACATCATGATTTGATCGCAATGATGTGTCGATGCAATTTAAAAGTGCAGCTGTGTGTTCTTTTAGCATTCTGTCTAGCCTGTCTACACCATAGCCACCAAAAATACGTACAAAAGCCTGCAGTTCCCTGAGATCAGTGACTGATTCTGCAAAATATCCGCCAACAGGTCTTGTACTCCTGAAGCATTTATGAATCGGAACAAACAATATACCAGCACTTGATACATCCTTGATTATGTTTTCGATATACCAATTGCATACAGCTTCAGTGGCTGATCCTGTATGTTGTTCTGTGGGCTTCTCAAACAAGTGCAAAGAAGAAACTGGTCCTGAAAAGGCTTCTGAAAGCAAAACTTCACGAATACCCTGAGTAATGTCCATGCTGATGTGTTGCTCTGCAAGATGCACGATGCTAACATGCCTCTGAATCAGTGATTCCAGAACAGAAGGCCGTTGAAGATCATTATCAGTTTTTAGAATACCCAGCAATCTTCTCCTGAAGTTGCCAAGAATGCATTCTCTCATGTACTGCACAAGTAGCTTGAGGTGTTAAAATTATAACAGAACAGAAAAAACAATGTTTGGTTCAGAACAGTACAATTTGATAGAGTGGCAGTGGATGGATGAAGATTGAAGACTTGGGTTTCATTGGTTGATCCATACCTTGAACAGGTAACCAGTGTCAGATTTTGATCCTCTAAAGGAAGAGGTACACTTTAAGAGTAAGGTGCAGCATTGATGAGAGAATCAATAAATTATAATTTTATAAAATACAAACATCTGGACAGATCATGGATAACTGTGGATCTACTCCCTTGATTTTCTCATCGGCAAATGCCATGTGCACTTTGGCTCTAACTTGCACCCCTCACTTTAGTGGATCTAACTTTGGCAGAACTAACTGCGCTGTCCAATCATTATCATTATAGTGTAATAAATCAAGGCAATTTAATTATTTATTATTATTACTACAATCTGTATACTGTTTATATGTAACACTTCACAAACTTGCATGCGTGCACATGTATAGATAAATACAGGAATGATAACTTCTGTTAGAATATCTAGAAGATATTGTATAATATCTTAAAAAAATTTAGAGTATCTTAGCTGATCTCTTAGGATTGGCTTTCATATTTCTTTATTTGTTTCCTTATTTTAGTAGTCTGCTATAAGTATAAATAGGGATCAATACATCTTAGTTTATATCAAATCAATATACAATATTATTCAGTCTTCTTTTTTCCCAATAACTTCAACAACTTCATTTACATTTTCTTTCATACAAAAAGTGCAGATTACATTGCAAAACTGACAAAAGATTAAGACCATTACATCTAACTGCATTAAAGAGCATGATTTGCTTCAGCTGCAATTTCTTTTTTTTAAGTATTGTTAGAGTACTTGTTATAATAGTTCAATGTATATAATAGAATAGTCCCACATCTTGTGGGCTTAGCCCATTAGGTCTTTTAGTCTCTTTAAATAGAGAGCTCTTGTACATTGTAACACACTATTATTCAATATACAATTATTCTATTATTCAATCTCAAGTTAGTACCGGAGCTATTTGTTCTCGGGATCCGCTTCCGCTAAAACCCTAAGCCCACTACTTGGGTGTTCTCTTTTACTTTGCCGTGAGTTCTTCCGGCAAGTCTTCATCAGTCGTGTGTCCCTCCAACAGATCCTCTACGTCGTGCGTCCTTCCAGCTTGTTTCTTCAACCGTTAGAACCACCGATCGCCGCCAGAACCACCGTTCGTCACTATTCACAGCCACTGGACTACTGTTCCGACATCATTTTCAACCGGAAAGCCTGCGATCAGACCTCTCTCTCCGGTGACCAAGTATGTGCTTCACCCATCACCAGAGGAGTCCCCAC